AATAAATCCCGCAAAAACTTTAGCCCCTGCGCGGTCAGAAACAATTTGCTAGAATCACTTACTACGAGCGAGCGGATGATAGTTTTTTTTTTCATCGTAGCTGTATATTTTTTGCAGATTCATAATTTCGAAAAGAATGCGGTTTCAATGAATGTGACATTCATTCTTCATCTTGTTCTTTGCGAGTTGTCACTGAAATCGCAAACAGAGTCGAAGGGTCTTATATGATGGATTGCTACGGGCTATAACAATCGAAACGACATAATTCAGAGAGAAAAGACTTATACTACTCTCACTTTATTCAATTATTTAAAATTAGTATAATGGGACCACGCAGCAGCCTCGGCTGCTTCACGAATGGGCAGGCTAGTCCGGGTAAGAACCACGACCTCACAGAAGACCGGCGTAAAGTGGAAGTATAATACTTCAGCGTTTTGTCTGGTGAATGAGGTAGCCGGAGCCCAACTTTCAAAAGGTTGTCAACGCATCAGCAATCCTCGGGTGTAGCGGATGTGCATGGGCGGCCGTATTCACTTAACATCAGGTGAGCGCTTGGCAACTTTTTACATAAAAAATAAAAAAATATTTTTCAATAGGTATTCTTGGATTTACGCGATTATCAATAAAATTACGTAATAAATTTTAGCATATTAAATTTTGTATCTTTTACGGCCCCATACATTAAGCACCCCAAATGATTGCATCATTCGAACTCTAAAAGCGTGGTCCTAATTGGTCACGAAATTGTAATAAATGGTCAGTGATATTTAGCAATTGGTCAATACTTTGTCACTTGCTACAGAGAGTTTAAAATTCCAAGGTAATCGGTAAAATTTTGGCAGGTCAAATTAATCCTAGAAATCGGATCTAAAATTTCTCACAACATGATCACAATTAGTCAATTAATTTTGATAATTGCTCTATATTACTTAAGTATCAATTAGAAAAATTTAAAATAATTTAAGTTAACCTTTTTGTGATTAGCACCTCAAAATAAAAATTTGGAAATATGCAAAAGATCCTAGGAAGTTACGAAACACATACAATTGGTCAGAAGCCTACTATAATTGGTCAACAGTATAAAAATTATCACAAGGTGTTCTTTTTATTTTCAAGGACATCCCTATCATCAAAACAGCGCCTTGACCGGAGAAACTGCTTTCAAAGACAAAAAGCGTTTTTGCAACAGCTATGCAAAAGGTCAGAGTATTCCAGCAATTGTTAAGCATTTGATGAAATAAGATGAATAAAAATCATGGAAATAACTGCTGTTCCGTCCAGACTGCTGCTGGTTTGTTCGTGAGGGCCACGCACCTGTCTTCGCTGTGGCACGAATGGGCAGAGCAGTTAGGGTAAATACCACGACCGCACAGAAGACCGGCCGGAAGTGTTACACCTCTGCTTTTTGTCTGGTGAGTGAGGTTGGCGGTGCGCAATTTATACGAAGTGGTAACCCTACGGGTCTTGTAAATGTCAATAGGCGGCGGTTATCATAACTATATACGAGCTCTGTCGCCACCTTTTCACATAAAAAAATGGTATTTTTTCTGTAAAATATTGAAAGAATTATGTAAGTGTCACGGAGTCATTGCTTGCAGATTCTTATCAAGCCACACTTAACGACCACATATTTTTTTATGTTCATACGAACTTGGAACAAGCCATAACTGAATTAATAAACGAAATTCATATACAATAATAAGCGACAAAATACAAAACAGTGAACCGGAATCGTTCAAAATGTTAAATTGTAATATATAAATAGAACTTTTATGTGGCCCATTCGATTACCTGTAACTATCGCCCACTTCGGGCATCGGGGGTGGCGACGAGGTAAAAATAATCCCACCCCGCTATTGCGGACGCTGCCTGAATACTAACTGCCCAGTTGCGAAAGCTTTAGCTACGCAGCTGTAGCTTGATTATAAATGCAATTACTATAACTTAGTTACACGTAAGTATCGCGCTCCCGTTTCTTAACTCTGATTTAAAATTGACCGAATAAGCAAGATTGATAGAATTAGTGACTAACTAATAATACGGTCTACAATTAACCAGCTGTGTAAGAATTTGTGCATTAATCATGTGAGGTTGTTGCACATTTTTAAACCCCTCCCCCCTCTTCCCTGGTGATATATGTCACGTGTATTTTTAACACTTTTTTCTACAAGGCAGGAAAATCGCTGTCTGGCAACTGCGAGCCAATCTCACACGCTGCTTTACGGTTTAGAAATCGCGCGTTCAAAAGTATGTGTGTACGTATGTACGCACATAAGAAGTTATTTAACTAAAAATGTTATGCCTGTGCCAGTACTCTTTGTTTGTGAAGGAGATATTAAATGCAATTGATAATGATTTGATTAAAAAACTTGGAATTGTAAATGCCAAAAAGATGTAATTTTTCATCATCGTAATACTACTGTAAAGTTGGTCGCTTTGGAACCAACTTCATCATGTCGCTTTTTAGCTGGCAGTGTGCGCGTGCCTCGAAAAAATTTTACTCCCACATCTTTTTCCAAATGTTCCAAAAGAATTCTGAATACTACACTAAAAGAATTCTACTTCAAAAATAAACGTAATATCTCAAAAACATTATAAACTCCCGAGCAGACTACGAGCGTCAGGTCTTGCCGTAGTCGTTACGTTGTCGGATCGATGCCGGGACGTGCTCACAGCTAGGGTTATCACACGTCGTATATTTGTTCGTCAACATGCATTGACTCGTTCCGTACATATAAACTGACCGTTAAACACAGCAGAGAGTTGCTAACAAATCACATAAACATAATCAAAAGTATTAATAAATAAAACTGGTTAGTTCTCCTGCCCTTATCCCACCCAGGTTTGTGAATCGTGTTGCTAATAGCCTAGCAAATTTGCCAACAAGTCATAATTTTTAAATAATAATTAGTAAATGAAACCGTTTTACGGAATAGAGGATCGTTGAGACTAACCACCGATGGTTGAAGATTTTGTCGAGTTGATCAAAATATTGACATCCCCATAAATATCGACTCTGGTAGTGCCGTCCCTGTTGCACGAATGGGCAGGCCCGTACGGCTAGCGTAACACGAGCTCAAAAAAGACCGGTGTTCTGCGTTTCGTCTAGTGAGGTAGCCGGAGCTCTCTTTATTAAAAGGTCAAAACGCATCTGCAACCCTACAGGTACAGGTGTTGCAAATGTCAATGGGCGGTAGTTGTCGCGTTACATCAGGTGAACCACACATCTCATTTGGTTAACCTTAAATCCTCACAAATGTTCACCGATTCTGACCAAGAAGCACCTTCTTGGGGTTTTCAAAATAAGGCTTTCTCATAATTAGAAGTGAGTTAGCTATTAATTCTAATGGGAGAAAATATTATTATAAAATATTTAAGTACACCTAAACTGCAAGACCTTAGGCGCTTTAAGCTCTTTGTATGAGATCATACCTAAATAAATTATTATGAGAAAAACTGACATAAGTATGAAAACCTATGCAATCTGTCCCATGACAACAGCCTTCATTAAAATAAAGCAGTTTTTGAACAATTTATAAAATAACTAATAAACTAATGTACGGATTTATCACGTCTATTTAAAATCCGTAAAATTATTTTCATGTAGTAATGTGTAATCGCGTAAATATAAGAAATTATTATAAATTATTATTAATTATACTTTACAATTCTTTCGATTAATTACTTACATACATACACTTTAAGATCCTTCTTAAAGTGTATGTATGTAAGTAATTAATATAATATAATAAGTGTATGTAGGTAAAGGATTACCTCCTTAACAAATCCTTATAAATATGCCAACCCTAATAATTGCGTCTGGCGAACGCTTTACTACCGCCGAAATATCGCAACGGGTCCATAAACTTCGCGGAGGCATACCACGGTCCAGGCAACGTTTTACGATGGAACTTTATAATTCAGAAAACTAATAGTTCACCTCGAATAATAGACGGTTACTTCTTACGAGAGACGAACATTGACACCAAACATCATAAACGTAACAGATGTACGATAGACCGGCTAAAATACTGGACATTGCAGTACATTGAAGTAAGTAAAGTAAAAAGTAAAGTAACGGCCTATAAATTTCCCACTGCTGGTCAAAGGCCTCCTCTGTAAAGAGGGTATCAATAAGAGGCCATAGATTGGCGGACTACACATATTTCCGAAACAATTTTTTTTTAAATATGCAGGTTTCCTCACAATGTTTTCCTTCACCGCTGAGCACGTGATATTTCAGCACTTAAAATTAACAATTTCATTGGGGCCAGCACCGGGGATCCAACTCAGGTTGCTCACGTAAATTGAATTAAAGGCGGATACTGAGTTATAACGGCTCTAGATTGAAGTAGATTAGATTAATCGATAACGCTCTGAAAGCTCTATAAATTTTACAAGTGTGAAAATCTTATACCATTATTTGTAACAACAGTTTTTCACCTTAATTTAATTTACCCCTAGTCCAATCTTTTCTGAGTATAGTATAAATAAGCAAATATAACGTAATAGCGATTCAAGTCCTCTCCGGCCTTTGATTTATGTAAAAAAGCCAGAACATTCTCGAAATATTTTTAACTGCCGACTACTGCTTGAATAAAAATCATTAGAATTATGTAGAAGTCCTAAAAGCTCCTCATGATAAATTAAAAGACCATTATAAATCACGGGAGCCATGTGTCGTCATTAGAAGATAATTTTGTACTTTCAACTTTTTCTTTTGACGACCCGATTGGCGTAGTGGACATTGGACCTGTCTCCTTCTCCAGAGGGTGTGGGTTCGATCCCCAATAGTGGAAAAATTTTGTGTGATGAACATGGTCTTTTTCCAATGTCTGGGTGTTTATATATTTATAATATAATATGTATTTATGTACAAAAGAAAAGCATGTTTATAGTTTATCAGTTACCAAGCATCCATAGTACAAGCTTTGCTTAGTTTGGAACTAGATAATGTCGAGTAAAAAATATCCCGAATTATTAATTTATTCGTTGATTTATTCTACCGTGGGAATCGCACTAGTGATACGTTCAAGATCGTAGAACTGTTTTGTGATGACGAACGAAAGCAGCCGCTCCACTTTAGAACGCCAATCGCCCTCTCCTCGCTGCGTAGTTACTGCCGCGGGTGATCCCTCATTCGCGTCACGTAGATTGCACGTGGGTGCCCGATCGCTCAGAGGGTGTGCTACACGAACCTCGGGACGTCGAACGTTCTCGACGGTTCGCGTAGCCCGCGAAGTTGGATCGACCAGAGAGCGGCGCATTCACAAAGTTGCAACCGCCTTGACGAACGTTGGCAAAAGTTGGCTTACATAAAAATACATACCATACCGAACATATTGTAGCCTCAAGACGTTCCGAGTTCAATACCGGTGAATTCGAGTACACTAATTTATTTCATTGTACCATATACGTGTCAAAATAACTGTATTAACTTCTATCCGGAAAACGTTTTTTTGTGGTGTGCGTTCGTAAAATCCGTTCTTAGCTGACTCTAGTCTGACTCAAGTCTCTGTTTCGAAAATGTGCAGGTTTCTTCGCTACGTTTTCCTTCGTTGCTGTGCACGTGATAAATCAGCAATTAAAATTGCAATATACAATTTCGTTGGTGCCTGTCCCGAGATTTGAACTCAAACTGAGTTACTAAAATATATGCGAGCCTCCGAACACGGAGCTATAACGGCTCTGGTAACGAGTTGTTTCTATCGATCGTTGCCTTCGTACTATACCGGCGGTACGCATTTCGGATGTAAGTGTTTTACTGCCATCTATCGCGAGTCACACGAATTTTCTAGAATTCTCCGCGCAACCCTTCCGGCGTGACACTGAAATGATAGTTTGTACTTATCGCAATTCCAACTTAAGGGAATGTAGCTCAGTGGTAGAGCGTTCGTTTTGCATGCGAAAGGCCCCGGGTTCGATCCCCGGCATCTCCATCAAGGGGTGTATGTTTAATTTTTTTTTCCTTTAACTACCTGTTGTTCGCAACTTCAAATAGTTAATTAGTCTTTTCATTGAAAGTAAATTCAAAGAATAAAATTGTCTAAGAATATATTTATGCTGCATGCAAGCTTAATTAAATAAATTACCTAAATTATCTAGAACTCCTCTAAAAATAACACTGAGATTTTTAAACATAAGCATCGATATCATTATCACCTGAAAATATGTTCAGGCGGAGACTCTCAGAAAACTCAGACCCGGACCGAATGTGTGGAGCATTGCATTCCGTGGCCCATCTGACCTCCTGTCCTCTCTGCCACTTCACCTGTTCGCAGTGTGGCATCCATTAAAACCTGCTGCTGCTAAGTTCTGAACCGAAAAGTTATGATTAGTCATCGACACGTAAAGAAGAATATAATCACCCGTTAGTAACTTTTTAAAAACTTTAAATTACTTTATTATAAATTACTCGTAATTTAACGGATAATTAATAAATTTTAACTCTTCCAGCTCTATCAAAATAATATCAAAACAATTTCACATGGACTGAAATACAGTTTAGTCTGTTGATATATCATTGATTGTTTCATCGGACGTTCAAGATTATTAATTCCAGTTTGAACCTGCTAATAATGGTCTAATACAATAAAGCAAACTAAAATTAAAAACAAAACGCTGGAAGAAATAATTCCGTATTTATATTAAAAGTAAAGACTTATTTTAATTTCAGCGTCCTATACTAGTTACTTTACAAAATAATATACTTTAGTTCGAAAGATTAACTTAAAACAGTTCTCGCTGTGAGGTATAATGGTCTTTACAATTTGCAACAAGCTCATTATATCTATAGCTCACTATATATAGTTTGCAGCATATTTGGAACCGTACCCAAAAGTAAACCATCGCTTCTAAAGTTATTAATAATATTCATAAGACACCAGTCTTTACTAGAACAAGTCAAACTTAAGAAGGGTTTCAAAGGAGCCGCGATAAGTTCGCACAGCTATTACGTGACTACGAAATTTCTAGAACACCGCAGACTTTGACAACAGCCGCTTCCAAAACTATATCTCTCCTATAATTTAAATTTCCATCTTGCCTTCCTCCGCTATAGGTAAATATTTACGTATAACTACGCCGGATTGGTTTATTCGAGTCACGTCGTAGCACGTGCCTCTCGCCGAATTACTCCCGAAATATGTATACAAGTATATAGAACGCGACGCTTTCTTGTTGCGAAAACTGGGAATACTGTCTAATGTAATTCCGAAGACACTCCTACTTGTTATCTTGGCTAGGTCTTTGAAATCAAACACTTATAAATGAATATTAATGATTCCATCTTAGTAACTATTTGAATATCTGATTTTTTATTCAAATGTCATATTGATTGAGTGGTAAGTACTACATATAACAACGTATAATAAAATAGTTTTACTTTAGTGAATTTTATTTGAGTGTAAATAAAATATACTGTCCGAATGCCAACAAACAAAAATGTTAAATTTCCCTTAACTATTTCGATACTTGTAAAAATACTTGACCGCATTTGTCATGCCCTTTTAAAATGCAAATACACCTCTTCCGAAGATCCAGAGTTCGTAATAAAACATTTGTATACACATTACTCATTTCAAAATTACACAGACAAAAAAAACTAAAATTAAGTATATACTTAATTTTACACCACTATATAACATCGAGCTGCTATGAGCGCCATCTAGAGAAAAACGAGCGAACAGAAAAAATATCCAAGCTACGCAGCACGTGGAAGCTGAAAACCGATCGAACGGTATTTATTCTCTTATTCGCACATTTTACGACTATGCTGAAAACGTGAGTACCCCAACACTTAAGGCCACATAACACCGACATTGCTCTATGGCTTTTGTGTCTCACATTTATCTATTTTGAATCATGTTTTCCCTTTGAATCCCAGTGACTGACTATATATTCGTAAGTGACTGACGAAGCCTATAATACAGACTTCGTTAGTTAGTATTTATTCTAAGTAAAGTATACGTAAAAAAAATTACAAATATTTAATATTTGCTGTTCATTATATTCGCGCTTTAACGACGATACTTACTTCAGCTTTTTTTTTCCTGTGAGAAAGTGGCAAACGAGCTGACGGTTCATCAGATGTTAAGTGATAACCGCTGCCCCATGGACATTTGCAACACCCTTAGAGTTTTAGATGCGTTGCCACCTCTTAATGAAGTCCCCAAGTAAGGCCCCAACTACGTCACTCGCCAGAAGAAACGCAGAAGTGCAACACTTCTACTTCACTCTGCGCTGGTCTTATGTGAGGTCGTGGTACTAACCCGGACGGACCTGCTCAATTGTCCACAGCGAACACTGTTGCGTGGCCCGGCCCTACCACCGTTACTACAGCTTCGCACAGACAGACAAATCTGAAATATACAAAAAAAATGTTGCAGTCAGAATTATATATTTTAATATAAGAAGATTAAAATATTTTATTTAACAGAATCCTTTCCTATAAAACGCCATGCAACGTGCGCGTGACACAAAAAGGTCTAAATTAAATTTAGCTCCTCGACTTTAAATATGGACGCTATTATCGGTATGAGACGCCTTTAATAGTCCCATATCCGTTATGGAATCGTGAAAATATTTTTATGGGCCTACAAGAATGCCATGAATCGCCTGCCTGAGAAATGCAGTTTCCCCCTCGACAACTTTATGATTTAATGCTTTCGTTGTGTACAGTTATGTGAACACTTAGTATGCATACAATTTTGCACAGAGCTGGTTTATAATACGTCAGAGTTGTACCAGTGCATTCATATACCAGAATACCATATTTCAAGAACTGTGCCAATCTGTTATAACATATGTAAATAAATTACAAAGACGATTTTTTTTGGAAAGTTACACTAACAAATTTAGCTAATTCATAAACATATGCTTATGAATATATAGTACAGCTAACACCAACTTCAAGTGCGTGAAACAAACCCTAATTAATAAAACGATATAAGATAAAAAAATAAGATAACCAAAAAATGAACAAAATATGGAGATGCCGGGGATCGAACCCGGGGCCTTTCACATGCAAAGCGAACGCTCTACCACTGAGCTACATCCCCCATAACATGCAAGTATAAATTGCTTTACCCATTATTCCACATTTAGAATGTCCAAATAATATTGAGAATGTATGTTACATTCATTGATGGTGCAATAGTTTGAACATCGACTCGCGATATATGAACATGGATTCCAATCCCATTTGGATTAATAACCGATTTTCGTGGCAAAGACTTCCCATAATTTGAGTTTAAAATATACCTTACTCACATTTGAGCTCAATTTGTGACAGACTCCACCAATTAAAGCGTTGCTTATATTATATATAGCACAAAGTATATAACAACCGATCAAGAAATTTAGATTTTAAAGTTTATTCCTTATTTGTAAGCAAATTTTGCATTTCTTTTTAAATGAAAAGTTGATTCATTATAACGAAGAAATTTCACTCAACGGTAAATTACATGATTAAACAAAAGTTAAAATAACAAGAGGTAAATTTGGAAACATTAACTGTGGCATGTTTTATGAAAAAGGAGGCCAACAAGCAAGTAGGTCACCTGGTGTATGTGTTCACCGCGGCCCTGCATGTTGTTCAATGATAAGAGCGTGAACTTCATATTTACATTATGGTTGGAAGAAAATAACACCTAAATATATTGGCGAAGTCATACAGGTATCGGAAGAAAGTTTCCCGAGTGGCAACCTCGTACTGGCCATCGCAGTGTCACTAGATGGAGTGATGACCTTTCCCAACTGTGCCTAGTCGATGGATGCAGGTGGCTGAGGATATTGCTTCGTGGCAGTCTTTGGGGGAGGCCTAGGATTCTGCGTTGATGTTGATTCACGCTCTTGAGGATCGTCCAAATCGTGTATGCTGGCTGACACATTAAAAAATCTGAAACGGGTAAAGATATCCTCAATATTATAGAAGATCTCCAGTTTAAGGTGTAATATCAATAATTTATTACCTTATAATATACCGGTTTTATCCACAATGTACAAGACTAAAATTAATTTTGAGCAGTGTAATTTCATTAAAATCATAAAATATATATAGTTGACGGATGGCATCATACAACCCGATTTCTCCCCTACTTTAAAAACTCATATTAATTTTGAATACTGTAAAGTTAAATCTCTAAGCTAAGGCAGGTAAAAATGTATATGTTATTTTTACGTGACGATAAAACATTCACATTTACGAAATGATTCCGATGATGGAAAATGATCGAAAATTTTGCGTTAATATCAATCCGTCTGATAT